AATGAGAAGCATTAAATAATGCCTGATAGAAAACAAGTAAACTGTTATTTAAGATATTTCCATATTGATTCTTGTTTGGCATCCTCACTTGCAATATTCTTTGCTTTAATCCAAGCATCATTGGATGTGTGATTTATCCTCCTCTATCTTTTCACTGTAGGAGTAGGATCCCATTCCTATAGAGGTAGGCCAATCAACAATAATCATTGTGTTTGATATATTAGAAACAGACGACTTATCTTCTCTGAACATATTATGTTCATGTTTAAAAAACCTCATTCTGCTTCTGCTGAACTTACAACAATTATTCTGGCAATGCTTTTAGCTCTTTGAACACTTTCAGGAATTGCATAATTCACTCATCATAACTTGTAGGAATTTGGGACATAGCACAAAGATGAAACAAAAGATGCGTTTCATCCTTTGGTTGTTTGACATTTTTTTCTCTTTACATTCTGTGTTTGTTTGCTAAAGTAACAAATTCAAGGAAATAAAAATATAGTATTTTATTGAAAGTATAATGAGTTTTATGAAATGAATAAATAAATATTACAAGCATTGTCCCGTTTAATTTTTATACCTATGGACGGAGTGGATATCACTATAGGTGCATAGAATATGCTGCTGCTGAGATGCACTTTGAAAAAGGGTAAGGGATGTAAATTTGTGGTTTCCACTTTGGGCAGCTGGACAGCCAACCATCTTTAGAAAGAACACTGATTAAAAGTGCCATTATAACAACCGGTTCATTGAACTCAACAAAAAATTAGGTATTGGTTCTGCTGAACTGGTGTGAACCAGCTGAATCCCACCACAGTCTATATGTCTGTCGTATTTGCACTAGGCTGTTTTGACTACATGGCTGTGTAATAGATTTTTAGATGGATGAATAACAATGAAATGATTGAGAAATGGATTAAAGCTATTTGTTTTAGCCTTAACTCTCGGTATAACGTTCTTAAATAATAGGCATATTTTGAATTCTTATGATAAATGGACAGATATAATAAAAGGTAAATATTAAATTTGGGTTCATTTTATCAGTGATTCCTGATAATTTCTGCTGTTCAAGTAGAAATGCAGCTGAAGTTTCAAAATAATCTATAAAGACTGTAAACCAGAAAAAAGTGCTCACTTTTTAAGCAGGGTATTATTCACTGTCCTATCTTCTCTTAAAGAATACAAACTTAATTTATTTTAACGTTTTCAAGCTATTCACTATGAAAATCTGGGATAAAAACGCTCATAGGTAATTCAGAGTATTTTCCCATTTTGCTATTTGGTAGCAAAATGTCCTATTTTGTTTTCAAGATTAAATTAACGTGGAAATGCTTCTAGTAAATGAAAAATCTATTATAAATTAAGATGCAAACTTAAATTTTAATTTACATCTAAGATGATGATGTACTTTTACTTAGACTAGGTAATGTGTAAGGGATCTCTGTTGTAGTGGGTTGCACATTGGGCTTTGAGCTGCAAGGTCAGCAGTTCAAACTCACCAGCTGCTCTGTAGGAGAAAGATGAGTATTTTTAATCCTCACAGTTGTACTTATGTTTGAGTCCATTGTTGCTGTCACTGTGTTAATCCATCTTGTTGCACCAATTGCTGACCCAATAAGGGGGGGCTCCTGGTAAAAGCTATGCTCATAGCTGTGTACATTAGAAGGCAATTCTCATCAAGCCCTAGAATGTCATTTGCCCTTCTAAAATTTTCATACAAATTTTGTAATATTACAGGTTTGCTAACAGAAACCCAATGTAAATCAAAGAGACTTCGAAAGAACCTTAAGCAGAATAATAGCTTTCACTCTAACATCAACGTGGAAGAGGAAGGAGTCGACAACAAGCACGTGTCATCCACAACTAGAGCTGGAAAATCGGCAAGACTCTTCTAAAACTTCTTGTTTCTTTATTGCTGGTATCTTGTTGAATAAATACCCATTACAGTATTTTTCTTATGTTTTCTTGTAGATTCAGGAGAGCGTGGCACTAACACAAGAGGAACATCAGCTCATTAAAAATATTGTGGTGGCGCATCAAAAATATACAATTCCTTTAGAGGCAGCAAGGACATTTGTATGTGTTCACTGTTGGCAAGAAATAAATTTATAATTACATTGGAAAATAAGAGCACAAAGATAAAAGTTTAAAATTTCCATAGTTATTTGAACGAATGTAAAATTGAGTTGTATTACTTTTTGTGGATTAGTTTCAGGAATATGCCAATCCAGAACTGAGCTTTTCAGGACTCTCGGAGACAGCTGTGCTGCGGGTCCAGGGGCTAATGGATTTTACCAAGGGACTACCAGGTAAAACATTAATGAATTAAAAAAAGAGTAATTTAACACTTAACTCATTTTAAAAAGAATTCTTTGCTTTAAAAGAGGTGACATCTTCGGAAAACACAAAAACCTGTAGTTTGCCACCAAAGCTGCTTCTAAATGCAAAAAAAGAAAAAGGAAAAAAGCTTATTTTTCTGTTTGAATCCATCAGCTAGATCAAGATATAAATATTTAAAGATATTATTCAAATGACTTCACAGTTTTTTTTCAAGTTAAGACAACTAATGTGGCTGTAAGTTGTTTGTTCAGATTATTTTTTTTCCAGAAACTTTTTTTCTAGATAAAACCGGAAACAAGCAAAATTCCCTATACAATGCTAGATAAATCTTTGCCAAAACTTATTTACTTACACACACAGATAACTAATTAGAAATATAAATTATTTCAGGCTACAGCAACAATATTTAATTTTCTCTTGCTGTAAAAAGTCAGTTACTGTTAATTCCAACTCATGGCCATTCTATGTGATTCAGAGTAGAAAAACACTTCTTAGGGCGTTCAATTGCTTTGGAAGTAGTTAGCCAGGCCATTTTCCCAAGAGGTCTCTGGACTCGCCAACCTTTGGATTAGTTGCTAAGGACTTAGTCTGTAGGGTTTGTGTCACTTTTTCTAGGGACTCTTTTGCTAAAAAACCCCAAGCTCACTGCCATTGAATCGATGCCAACTCATAGTGACCCTATAAGACAGAGTAGAACTGCCCCTGTGAGTTTCTGAGACTGTAACTCTCTAAGCATGTTTAAGAAAGCCTTGTCTTTCTCCCACAGAGCTGATTTAGTAGCCCGACTTGTAACCATTACCCAACCAGAGTTCCCTCCTCTTGTGAAAAAAACAAACTCACTGCTATGGAACCAATGCTGACTCATAGTAACCTCCCTGTGGGTTTCTGAGACTGTAACTGTTTACGGGAGTAGAGAGTCCAGTCTTTCTCCCATGGAGTTGCTGGTGGTTTCAAACTGCCAACCATTAGAATTGGAGCCCAACACGTAACTACTGCACCACCAGGGCTCCTTCTCTTTCTATAGGAAAGTATTATTTTAGTTCTAATTAGAAGTGTCCAAAAGTTTACTATATAGAATAAAAAAAATTATTAAAGACTTTTGATGTTACCAAGCATGATTATTCTAAGGCAGGGGTGTCAAACTCAATTAAAACGCGGGTCATTTGGTGCAACAGGCAAGATTCATGTGGGCCACATCACATTTACAAATTTTGTTAAATTTATATTTTGAATTGAGGATTCAGGAATATGGATAGGATAATTGAAACACTATATAATTGCTTTTATTTAAACATTTATTTTATTTAATGTATTTATAAAACTAAAATTATTCTTTTATGCCCAAAACTTGCTAGCGCTTTCCTCCTACTACCCTGTTTCCCCCAAAATAAGGCAGTGTCTTATATTAATTTTTGCTCCCAAAGATGCACTAGGTCTTATTTTCAGGGGATGTCTTACTTTCAGGGAAACAGGATAGTTTTCACTTACCTCTTCTGTTGTGACTGGAAAATATGACAAAGTAACTAATAAAAAACACAAAATGTTGGGCTGACAAACATGATGCACAATCATAATGGTTTCCCTCTAAAAATGTTAACTAGGGCTGCCGCTAGTTATGATTCATAACAGCACAACCCAGAGTGCTTTTATTAACTTTTTCGCTACTGGGATCTGTTTACATTATGTGACACTGAGATGGCAGACATATCGCTTCCAAATGTCGCCGGAAGGGAGTCAGCACGTTTATACACGTCCACGGCCCCCAAGAAAGTCACTGGGCCACGTGTATACTCATCTTCAGTAGTTAAAGGGTTAACAAGGGAATTGTGTGTACGGTATTTCCTTGATCTCCCCTAAGTGCTATTTTCTTCATAACAATTTTTTCTATTTTTATTTTATTTCAGAGCATCGCGGGCCACAAAAAATTACTTTGGGGGCGGGCCACCAGCTTGACACCCCTGTTCTAAGGGAATATTTAGGACTTACATAATAAGTAAATGAATAATTTATACCTGAAAGTTTTCTTTTGATTATTTGTTTCAAACAATCATTATCTTTGCTTACAGGATTTGAAAGTTTGACCAATGAAGATCAGACTGCACTACAGAAGGGATCAAAAACTGAAGTGATGATCCTTCATGCGGCTCAACTGTACAATCAGAAAGAATGTTTGCCGTCAGTCTCAGAAAGTAAAAAGGCCAATTAATACAGCCTTAGTGTTAACAGCTACTATTAAATCTGGCAACAAATTATATAAAACTGAGCTATTTTTCTTATATATATTTTGCTATTTAGTATAGGAATAACTACTTTTTAATATATTTATAGTTTCCAGTATATTGGCTTAACCTTTGTTTTTCTTTTAAAGAAAGCCATTCTCTATTATATTTATTATTATACTTAATATTACTATATTTTCAATGAGTCTTCCATAGCTAACTTTATGATTCGATAATGAACATTATAGAGTTACCATTTCTTGGGAAAGTTTCATCTTATAGTTTTGCTGAAATCTGACAGGCTACTATTTTTTTTTCAGACTACTATTTGTATAAAGCTAAAAGAAGTCCGACTTTATATTTTTCCTTTTTAAAAAAATGTTTCCATTTTCTTAGATGCTTTGAGATTATCAAGTCATTCAGGTGATTCATTGACTTGTCACTATCAGAACGATGCTGGAGGTGTTATTTGTTCCATGGAAACATTGCACAATGAAGACAATCCTGCTACGGCTCTATCTGGTAATATTACACACAAGACAGAATAGTATATCTAATGGAAAAACTTAGATGAATATAATGTTTTATTTTCTTATACTGCCTTAAGGGAAAAAACCCCATAGAAATTGTGTTTAATTCTGCATTGTATTTTGATGAGAATATATTTTATGTTAATCTTTTTAGGTATTACTGAAGATTTTATTACTGCACTGTTGTACTTTTGCAGAAGAATGAGTCAACTTAATATTACTAATACTGAGTATGCTCTGCTTGCAGCAACAACTGTGTATTTTTCAGGTAAAGACCAATTCCAACACACATAGTAAAATTTTGGATGCAGTTTGGCCATGAAATCATGGCATTTGTGGTAGTTATATTATTAAATTATTCCTTGCTGTCCAGTATACCAATTTTGCTTAATCAAAATTTCCTTTTTTGTCAGATTAATCTCCTGTTTATCCTTTTTATCAAGATAATTTGCCTCTTAAAAAATGCTTTCTTGACCCCTTTCTTGCCACTTTACAGAAACACATGGAAGGATCTGTCTACACTTTGGTATCCATTTCTCTTCTCTTATTCAGGCCTGGCCCACTTCAGAAAGATTTTGGGCTGTTCTATTTCATCACAATTTGTCCTGATCTGCACTAATTTGTCCACTATGGGTTCAGTGGTCATTTTTCAATTTAGAGCTTCATTGACTCAATTTGTTAGTAGCATTTAACAGAGCAGATTCCTCCTTTCCTCTTAAGATTTTGCCTCACGTGGCCCTCGGTGATTACACCCTTTTTCTTGACAATCTCTCACCAGCACCACTCAGCAACACTGGCTCTAACTTTCCTCCTCAGCAGTTGCTTTTATTCACTCTACTTCGTTAACTCCTCAATTCCCACAGTGATAAATGTTAATGCGGCTTAAGTATTCTCCCTGCCCCCCACGTTTTTCCTTGGCGATTGCATTCATTCTCATGGTTTTAAATACCATCTATATGTAATACCACTCCTCAATTTATAAACCATTTTGCATTGCTCCCCTAAATCAATCAGTAGTATACACAACATTTCAACTTGGATGTCTAATAAAAACAACCAACCAACCAACCAAACCTCCATGGTCAATGAGCTAAGAGAGGTAAGATCTTAATGAAGAAAGAAACTGTGACTCCAGAAACAAGTGAAATAAATCCAGAAACAGGTGAAATAAGAGGTGAAATAAAATTACCACTGATGTGATAGCTACGAAAGTTGGGCCCGCATATGGTCTGGCACCTTCAATTCAAGGCAGAGAGGTCAGCGCAGAAGGTTATGGCCACTGTATTTTGGATCCCAAGGGGTCATCTTGAGATTTTCAAAGGACATAGGTCAATTAACTTTTGAAGAAGTTTTAAGAAAATTGAAAATGATATTGGTGAGAAAAAGATCAGGAAAATTGTGCCCAAGACTTCTTTTCCATCACAACAATGCATTGCGCATTTGTGGAGGCGAGCGAGGGCTGTTCAATGACAGTTTAGCTGGGGAGTCTTCCTCCATCTCAACCGTGCCCTTCCTCCAGCCCCAACTGTGCCCTTCCTCCAGCCCCAACTGTGCCCTTCATATGCCTTTGATCCCCAAACTCTAAACTGTTGACAAGGAACATGATTTGAGTCCCTTGAATATGCCCAAATTGCTGTTTTGATGCGGTGTAAATCAAAAAAGCATTGGATTCTTTGGGAGGGTTTAAAGAGATGGAAAAACTGTCTTCAGACGTGCACAGACCCTAGATGGAGGACAGGCTGAGAAATAGTAGCTTCACATTTGGATGTTTTTGTTTAATAAAGATTTCTCTGATTTGTAGCAATGCTGTTTTGTTTACTCTCATATAAGTCATAGCAGACCATTCCTTTGCTTATAATCCTTCATTGGCTTCATATGTTTCCCAGATTAAAGCTAAAATTTCCCATTATTGCCTATCTATTTGCATACTTCATCCCAACAACCATGCTTTTTGAGATGTTTCTTTAAAACCTCAAGCAAGGGTGGCCCTGACTCAGTTTCTACTGCACTTTATGAGACCTCTGTCTGGAAGATTTTCAGCAGATTCCTCTTTTATTATCTTTGCATGGCTACTCACATGTCACCTAAGGGAGGCCTTTCATGATTATCCTTTAAAATATAGCCACTGTCCCTTCAATTTGAATGCATATCCCTCTTCCTGCTCATGTTTTTCACATGGCACTTTTCACTATTATATACATTTTACATATTAAATCAGTATATTTAGAGAATGTGTTTATGTAATACATTTATTATATAAATTCCTATAATACAAACATTTAAATGTATAAATGTTTTTTTCCAGCTGCATTCTTCCTAGTCTTAGAGTATAAGTTCAATGAGGGCAGGACATTTTGTTGGTTCACTGCTATTTTTCCAGTAAAATAATTGGATGAATGAATGTAGGTTAGCTTAGTTAGCCTTAGTTGTCTCATATAGTTTAGATTTAGGTAGATAAGAATCTTTGCCTTTTACTTGCTTTTGACTTTGTGGAAATTACCTAATCTTTTACAGTTGCAAATAACTCATGGCTGCAGTTACAATTATGTATGATCCTTCTTTTCTATGTGACTCCGTGGAAATGAATTTTATAGAGCTCACCTAAAAATGATGGTAATAATACAGTTTCATAGAGTGAAGACTAAACAAAATAGATTCACATTATTTAGCACATTATCTGGAATATACTAGAAATTTAGCATTACTATTTCATTATGTAAAAAACTCTGTTTGAAATTATCCAGTAATACTTTCCAGTATAAACTAATTTAAATATGATGTTTTTCAGATCATCCATGTCTTAAAAATGAGCAACGTGTGGAAAGTTTACAAGAACCAGTTTTACAAATTTTGTATAAATATGCAAAAATCTATCATCCAGAAGATCTACAGCATTTTGCTCATCTAATTGAGAGGCTCACTGAATTGAGAACATTGAATCACAACCACTCAGAAATAATTAGCACTTGGAAAACAAAGGACCCTAAACTGACTAATTTACTCTCTGAGAATTGGGATTCTATTAACATTTCTGACATTTTAGAATGTTGTGGTTTGTCTGAAGCTTCCTAAATCTGTATTACCTCGTCTAAATAGCATCACAATGATGACTGATTTCACAGGATGCATTGGAATATTATATTACAAATATTTCACCATAAAGTAGACTCCAAAACCCACTGCCTATGAGTTGGTCCCAACTCATAGTGACCCTATAAGTCAGAATAGAGTAGTATTTAGGATTTATGAAATTGTAAATCTTTATAGAAGCAGACTGCTTCACCTTTCTCCCACAGAGTAGCTGGTGGATTTGAACCATGAACTGTGTAGTTAGCTGCCTCACATCTAAACTACACCACCACCAGGGCTTCTTTGGATATGACTGAATCCTCATCAATAGTGCTCAAGAACAACAAAATAGTGCTCAACGAATTTTGTAGAGTAGGAAAAACCACCACTAGAGGGACATCTAGGACTCCTTTCTAGATTGAATTAAAAAGAAGCAGTGGCTATCGTTCTTGGGTTCTTCACAAGGAAACAATGCTAACTAAACAGAGTTCTTGCCTGAATAAAGGTCACTTTTCCCACTTGGCAGAAAATTGAATGGAAATATATAGATTCTTTATAGCTAGGAGAAAGGTTAGCTAGGAGAACCCCCTATGCGAATGGACCTTGTAGATTTAATTCATTAAAGCCAGATTGATGGTAAGCAAGTTAAATTTTAAGGAACATTGCAAACCTATTCCTGTTAGAAAACTTTATAAATTATTAATTTTGGTATATGTGCTGCCGAAGCAAGCACTTTTATAAATTATTAAAAAGGCACAAAATTTTGTTCTATGCTTACTTTTAAAAAATATCTTTAAAAAAATACCCTTTATAAGTCCAAATTAGAAAATTTGTGATGGTAAGACATTCAAACAATTAAAATAATACATCATTAAAATATTTTAACATGTATTAGGAAATAAAGCATAATTTATTTTTAACACAGATGGACATTTTGACATTTCCAACATCTTTTGTAATATTCTTAAAAGTTAAAGTTCTGAAAAAGATGAAATCTTTCCACAAATATTTAAGTTCTTTTAAAAATGGAGTGATAACCCATCCAAATAAATGTCACATGAAATTAATGCAATTGAGAAATTCTATGGTTGAATTATTTTTTGAGAGACTGTACACAAGTAAATAAAATACAGTGCATTTAAGTTAATACTAGACATAACATTTTGGCTTTAATTAAAAGGAAAAAAAATACCCATAGTTGAATTTTCCAGCATTGTGAAATTCATAACATTTAAAATATCAAATTTATTCTTTCATCTTAAAATCTTATTTGAGGAGTGAGAGTGATAGGAGGGATAAATCACTAACTAGAGCAGTGGTTTTTAACCTTCCTAACACCGCCACCCTTTAATACAGTTCCTCATGTGGTGACACCACCCCCAACCATAAAATTATTTTTGTTGCTACTTCATAACTGCAATTTTGCTTCATAACTGTAATTATGAATTGGGTGGCCCCTGTGAAAGGGTCATTCGACCCCCAAAGGGGTCGCGACCCACAGGTTGAGAACGGCTGCTCTAAAGGGTTGTTGTTAGGTGTCTTTGTCAGTTCTGAACCATAGCAATCCTGTGCACAACAGAATGAAACACTGTCCTGCACCGTCCTCCCAATTGTTCCTAGGTTCGAGCCTATGGTTGCAGCTACTGTGTCAATCCATTTCATTGAGGGGCTTCCTCTTTTTTTGCTGTCCCTCTACCAAGAATGATCCCCCTTTCCAGGGATTGCTCTCTCCTGACAATATGTCCAAAGCACGTGAGATGAAGTCTTGCCATCCATACTCCTAAGAATCATTCTGGCTGTACTTCACTCGAGACAGATTTTTTTGGTTCCTTTGGCAGTCCAAGGTACTTTAAATACTAGAGGATAGACACATATTAGTAACTTGAGTGTAGGGGAAGGCAAAATGCAGTACAAAGTAATCAAGGCAAAGGAAGACATTGGCAGGAGCTCGAGTTAAGGCGCCAAAGGTAAATACTATTACAGATACAATTCTGCTAGAACAGTCATCTACAAGGGGATATCATAGACATGCAAACTGGAACAGGTGCTGGAAAGTGGATGAGCCTACACCTACGAATATATAGGTTTGATAGAGGATATTTCTGCATATACATGTGTGTGTGCATTGTAAATATATTCATGAATATAATAGAACATACAGAAGAAAAAATTATGAATATTTTTTAGCCATAACCACACACCTTAAAGAAACAAGCTGCTTCATTGGACTTAATGACCATAGATTTAGAAGATATCAAAGTAAATTGGCATAATATAGTCCACAAACCCACAAAGACAATGGTCTACATCCTGACTATTTTGGTGAGTAGCAACTGGGAATTTAAAAGTTTGTGAGTGGCCATGTAAGTACAACTGTTGATCTCCTTCTTAAGAAGCAAAGAAGAGTGGAGACAATCACAGATACATGCAAACAATTAGTTTGAAGACTTAATGGACCTTATGAATCTCAGATTCAGTGGCCCTGAGACCAGAACTACATGAACGACACCTGGTTACTTCTCTGAAAGGGATCATAATAGGAGGTCCTAGGTACAGTAGGGAGAAAATGTGGAACATTATGCAAGGATAAAATTCAGAAGGGAAGGAGGGATAGGAAAAATGGCTGAAGGGAAATGGTAAACACAAAAAATGGGAAGAGTGTTGTTACATTGTGGGTTTTACAATCAATGTTACAAAAGAGTATTGTGAATTGCTGAACGGGAAACTATTTACTCTGTAAACTTTCACCTAGTCACAATAAAAAATTAAAAATAGGTAAACAAGTGGCCATCTGGCTCAGAAGTAACAAAGCCCACATGGAAGAAGCACACCAGCCTGTGTGATCACGAGGTGTCGAAGGGATGAAGTATCAGGCATCAAAGAACAAAAAATCTTACCATAGTGAATGAGGGAGAGTGTGGAGTGGAGACCAAAAGCCATCTGTAGGCAATTGGACATCCCCTTCCAGAAGGGTCGCAGGGAGGAGATGAGCCAGTCAGGGGACAGTGTTAGCAATGATGAAACACACAACTTTCCTCTAGTTCCTAAATGCTTCCTTCCCCCCACTGTCATGATCCCAATTCTTCCTTAAAAATCTGGCTAGACCAGAGGATGTACACTGGTACAGATAGGAACTGGAAACACAGGGAATCCAGGGCGGATGATCCCTTCAGGACCAGTGGTGAGAGTGGCTATACTGGGAGGGTGGAGGGAGGGTGGGGTAGAGAGGGGGAACGGATTATAAGGATCTACATATATCCTCCTCTCTGGGGGACAGACAACAGGAAAGTGGGTGAAGGGAGACGTTGGAGAGTGTCAGATATGCCAGGGGCTTACAGGGAGAGCAAACGTTTTGAGAATGATGAGGGTAATAAATGTACAAATGTGCTTTATACAATGATGTATGTATGGATTGTGATGCGTTTTATGAGTCCCCAATAAAATGATTAAAATTTAAAAAAATATCTTACTTAAGTGAATCAACTATTATTGCTGGGGACATCTTATGGATATTCTTGGTATTATCTCATAGAGGGATTATCTTGTTTACTGTATCTGGACTCAACTCTATCTTGCTTACATCTTTCTGGGCCTCAGTTTACTCAAAATGTAAAATAGATCATCTATATGTCTTTCCCAGATCAAAATTTTATAATTTTAGTAGAAACTATTATACAAATAAAATGTATTATTTAAAAATATTGCTAAAGTTCCTAGAAAACGCATTAATTATGTAAGTGTTATAGTATCTGGAGACAAAATCAGTATCTCAAACTGAAGTTATGTTATTAGCCAAATTTGTTATTTGCCAAAATTATTACTGTATTATGAACCTACTTGTCCAAGCCTGAAATTAGACCATCTTAGAATTAATAGAATTTGATAATTTTTTTTCAAATTCTTTTATACCTGACATATCCTGCTTCAGGGAGTGGCCATGATTGGTATCTACTCCACTGCAACTTAAAACAATCCATCTCCACTGCCACTAATAGCCCAGGTCACCATGTCTTCTCCAGGCTATTAACACTGTCTCCCTACTTCAAGTCTTACAAGCCTCAACCTTTCTTCATACTACAAATCATCTTTTGAACCTGATTATATCATCCCTTCTATTCAAAAGTCTTTAACCTTCCCATCCGGGAAGCCTATAATCCAGAAGCCTTTGCCAGGTCTTCCTATCTGTGACGCCTCAAAGCTGTACCAATCTCATTTTCCATCTCTACCTCACACACCTACACCTACAGCCACATACTTTTGGCATCATGTACTTAGACAAATCTCTTTCCTGACAACTGGTGCGGAGCTCCTTAGTCAGGAACACTATTCCTCTGTTGACTATGGCCAACTCTCTATTCCTCTATTTTCTGCAGAAGCACAAACAAATATATCTCATTTCTGAAGTCTCTCTTCCGACTCCTCAAGCTGCCGAAAAGTTCTACTGTTTTCAAGACTCTTCGAAAACAATAATTTTATCGTAATGTTTACACTACAGTAAAATTGTTTCCACGTGTTTCCTTTCTAAAACGGAAGGCAGATATGGTTTTTCCACCCTTACGCCCAGTCATCACAGCACCTAACACATCTTTGAACTCTGACAATCAAAGAAGCTTCAAGAACGTGGGCGCCGCGGAAAAATGGAATCTCGGAAAGCCCGGTTGCTAGGGTAACGGGAAATCTCGCGAGATGTGGGGCTCCGGAGCAGCGAGAGTTCCCCGAACGACCGTTATTTAGCCGTTAAACGGTTTAGGACCCGCCTCACTCCCTCCAGCTTCGCAGGCGGGAGATTTCCCGCCTTTTCTTTAAAGCTTCAGCGGCAGGAGCTCTTACCGGGTTCTTCTGCCACCCCAGTCGATAGCGGGGCGCAGTCCGTGCGGCCCCAGCCGTGGTTTTTCGAGGTGAGGGCAGTTTTCTTGGGTTTCTTTCCCGGGAGGGCGGGCGGGCGGGCCGCAGGGCGCGTCGCGGGGTGGCCCGTCGCCCCTCAGGGAGCCATCCGCAGTCATCCTCAGAGACAAGGCCGCTGCTCGGCCCGTGAGGGGAAGGGCTTCGCTTGCCTGGGATTCTCCGTCCTTTCCACGGTGTTTGCTGGGGGCAGATGAGGTCAGAGGAGATGAAGCCCTTTGACCTTGGAGCGCCCGCCGTGGGCGGTGCTGCTTGCATTTGTTTAACGTTGTTTTCTGCAAAGAAGTTGCCACTACTAGTGCTTTATGTATTTGTATAGTTATTTTTTCATGTTAACTTATTTACTCACCATGTTTTAGCAACTTGGGTTAGGCTTACAAGCTGGCCAACTTGTGTATACTTTCGTAAAACGAACGATTTAAAAAGGTTCTTGTGCTTTTCCGTGCGTCTTCCTTTGTGTATTTGATATTTTGTGGTGGACGCTCAGGATAATCTGCTGGTGCCTCTCCACTAGCAAACACAGGAGCAAGGATTGTGTTAATTCCTTTTATAACAACGTCTAACTAATTTTATAACGAATGTCACTACTCTGTAAGAATAGTGTTGTGACGAAGCAATGTAAAACTTTTTTTTTCTCCTTTTCATCCTGGGTAGTAGATTTTTACAACTGGAAGAGAGAAGATGGAAAAGCAAAAACCCTTTAAATTGTTTGTACCACCGAGATTAGGAAGCAGTCAGGTATCTGCAGTGAAACCACACACGATGGGAGGAGATTCTAATTTCTTCAAGGTAAATTTGCACATGAATCATGATTTTAACCTTACGCAAATGTCGCAAAGTCTACTTTCTTTTTTAAAAATTATTTTATTGGGGGCCTTTACAGCCCTTATCACAATCCATGCAGACATCCATGTGTCAAATATATTTGTACACATTGTTGCCATTATCCTTTTCAAAACATTTTCCTTCTACTGGAGCCCTTAGTATCAGTTCCTCATTCCCCACCCCCCACCCTTTCCCGCCTTCCCTCCTCCATGAACCCTTGATCATTTATAAGTTATTATTTTTTCATGTTTTACACTGATGGTGTCTCCCTTCACTCACTTTTCTGTTGTCCGTCCCCCTGGGAGGGAGTTATATGTCCATCACTGTGATCGGTTCCCCCTTTCTCTCCCCCACCCTTCCCTTACCCTCCTGGTTTTGCTACTCCCCTTATTGGTCCTGAGGGGTTTATCTGTCCTGGATTCCCTGTGTTGTGACCTCTTATCTGTACCAGTGTACATGCTCTGGTCTAGCCAGATTGATACAAAATGTTTTGTAGTGATAGTGTTTGGTAAAAATTTCTTTTCATCAAACATGGTCTGATTTACCAAATAATTTGAATAACATTGTTGTGAATGAATACTGAGTATACTTATACTGTGTGTAGGTGGCATTTATTGATACTGTAGAACTCTGCACATAATGACACTTGCATATTTTCATGTCCTCTTTTCTTAAATGATGAGGCAATTTATTAGACACATGATGAAGTAGTAAAATATAAATGATATTTTCTAATACAAAACTATACTAAATGTTTTGTAATACAGATATAAGTATACGATATATAATTTATATTATGATTTATAATATATAATATGCACATAGATATAAATAAATGTATAAGATGTATGTTGCACACAATATTATATATTATATACAATATACACGAAATATTGTGTGCAACCTATGTAATATATAATATGAATATATTTGTATTATATAATATATGTAAATATATCATATGAAATATAAAATATAAAGACAATTAGAGAAAAAGCCCTACTGTATGCTTATACTACAAATATGGCTAGACCAGTAGCATTTTGACTGAGCTTCACATTTGATTACAGGCTTCCAGATTGGTGGAATAAAAAGGGAAACTAATTTTACTCATTAAATGGAATTTTTATAGGAAAGTAGTAAAGATCCTAAGTTTCTCAGGGTAAACAGGTCTGAAATATTTTTGAAAATTCTCACATGGTACTTTATATTGTAAATGGACTAATTCAGTGAATATTTTAATTTTATATGCTGAAGACAGTTTCTTT